CCCTCTCTTCCTCCCTCTCTCTCCCCCTCTCTCTTTCTCTCTCCCCCTCTCTCATATATATAAATATGGCTAAAATCATATTTATTACATAAGAGTATGTATTGCTTAAATAATAAAAATTTAGGTCCTGGGACGAGTCTAACATAAATCATTAATTCAATAGAAATAATTGTACATTTTTAATGTAAATGAATAATTATTTCAGAGGTACTGGAATGCCATTCTGTTGTGTTCCGCCAGATATCAAGACCTGACATTATGAATATTGCATGTTAGATCATTTCTTGATTTCTGGTATTGTCCAAAACCAGCTGGGTTAACCCTTTAACCAGCCCCCCGCCCCCAATGGCTTATTTATTTATTTTATTTAAGGTATTATACAGGTAACAATGCAATCTGATATGACCCGAATAAGCCCTAACATAATTATTTTTTAACATATCACAATGTTTCATATCACATGTAAATGTACGTATCACAAGAATTTTCAGAAATTATTTGCAAATTTTTTACTTCTTTTAATTTTAAACACCTCAAATGCGGTGTTTGAAATTGTATACTCTAGGTTTTAGTGGCAACAGGAAGTATGTGTGTGATGAAGGATAGAAACTGAACTAGTTGCAAACAAACATGAAAAAACTATGTATTTTCTTTAAAGAAGACACATTTGAGCGCTGATAATTTTTTTTTTTTTAAGTTTTTGTTTCCTGTATTTTTGTGGTGTATGGTTCAGTGTTAAGCATTCAATGTGTAAAGTAGCATTGCATTTTAGACATATGTGGATTACTACTTTGTGACAAAGACCACTTTCAGTTGGGGTGTCTAGTGGACAATCTTTTCCATCATAAAGGACTTCCCATCGAAAGATGCAGTTTTCGTTGTACTGTTATAATTACAGGGTTCAATAACTGTGTTGTTATTCTTTGCAAAAATTCTAATTGAGTAATTCCTTCATGGAAATGTCTATATAAAAGCCAACCATTCACCACATCTGTCTCTTTAAGCAAAGCCTAACAAGAGGTCAATTCCTTTTTTTAGAATGTATTCCTATTTTATATACTCTTGAATTGTTGAAATGAATTAACTTTGCCCATTTCATTGTACTCATTCGCTAGACTTGGTTGAGATACATTTATTTCACAAACAATGTTCTATCTTGTGCACTTCATGACTGTTTTTGTCAAATAATCTTATCTGTTGGAAGCCATCTCTGAAGCATGTTATTTTAAAAACATTGTAAGTGCCCCTCGTTGACATTTTTAAATCTTTCTAAGGCACTCTTTTAACCCTATGCTTTCTAATGATTCCAGTCACAAATATTTTTTGTTCAGTCATTCTTTTCCTAATAATTCCACTGAATTAAAATAATTGTTGACAAACATTTGACTTTCTTTTGGAACAAATGCATATTTATTTTTTCTGTGACAGTACTACCCAGTGTCTTGCCAGATTCCTATTCTTCACAACCCTCATACCTTGAAGTGAATGCAATAACAGTTTGGTTTATAGGCACCAGAATTTTAAACCAAAATGGACTGGTTTTCCACAAATAAATTGTTTCAAGTGTGGTATCATAATACGGTTCAATGGTTTCATCGAACGAATGCATAGATGGTGGTGGTTTTGTATATTCTTCAAATTAGTTTGATAAGTCCAAAAAGGATATATCATCAGTCATGAAAGGCTCTAATTGTGAATGCTTCCGATATTTGCATTTTCTATATTAGAACTAAAGTCCAGATACTTAATTATAGTTAAAAATTGATCTTGATGTATTGTATTTGAAATTGCAGCATTATTTACCTCTCCTTTACATTTCCAATACATTTTTCTGTTTGGAAGATTGTTATAATCCGATGCAAATAGAATAATCATTTTGTACACAACCTCTACTGTTACAGAAAATTTTCAGTTTACTTGGTGTCATTTTCACTTCCATTGCAAACAGTGTGTAGGAATTCTGGATTACAAAACAATTGAAATATTTGCAGAAGTTCCAAGTCTTAACTGAATAATAATCTCTGAAACTTTCAGAGGTGGCTCTACTGTTATTATATATTTTGCATTATCTCCTGTTTCAGATCAACATGATTCCATTTCCCTTGATCATTCTTTATTAGCTCGGTAGATTTTCCAATTATTTGATTTTCCCTTGACATTCTGTTTTTCTTACAATTTGTAGTCAATATCTGATGAATTTAAATTCTCAAGTGTATTTTCTACATTTAGATCCAATCTTCCATTTACAGTATTGCTTACTTGCATAGTGGCTTCCTGCCCCAAAACACCATGTCCAAGTTATTGTGGATGGTTTAGGTTGACCTTGATTTCTTTTTTGGCAACTTCAGCAGCAGCAGTCTCATTCTTGCTATTTGGTTGCTGAAAAACCAAATCCATTTTTTCTGTATCTTCCAGTAATGTCGCTTTAGTTTTTAATAGTGTCAATATTTCTTTGCTGGGCAGGTTTCTAAAACTAACTGAAAAGAAAACAAAGCAGCAATTTAAGTCTAGCATATTGTTGTTAAGATATTACGTAAGTGAATTTATAGATATAAATGTTGAGTAAATTATAAATTAACTTACTGCAAGCATAACTTTGGCAGTTCGTCTTCCACAATAGTCGAAACAAGAACAAAATGAAGATGTTAAATATCCGTTAGAGATAGAAAAAATGTTTATGCATCATGGTGGAATTATAAAGCAAATGCAGGTCATTTTGTGTGTGTATGTGTTGGTTTTTCTAACGCCAAGCTTTAATGGATTAAAATATATTTTTGATTGCAGTAAAAAACAAAACACAAAATCCACTAATCACCCTGTTCCTGTTCATAACCTATGTAGAATATTTAATGTGATGAGTATACATTGTTCAGTGTCTTGGGCTTGTATCTTCTGCAATTTCTTATGATATGCAGGAGGTACTAGAAGACCTCAATATATTTTTATAAATTAACTGCAACATATTAATATTGTCATCAAAATGTACCATAATAACATGTTACTATATTATAAGATGGTAAAAGATAAGTTTCATTCAGTTTTAGAACACTTGTAAAGAGTTGTTCTCTGCAAGCCAAGAAATAATGATTACCAAACATTTTAAGTAAATTAGATATTGATTTTTGTATATCTCTTCCTTTGTCAAAAGAGAGAAGTTGTTTGATAGTTGATACATTTCCCTCAGTTCATATAATGCTCAGATACGAACAAAATAATTATTTGACATAAGGTAAAACACAAAAGACAATCTAGATGAGAATGGGTTCAGGTAAACATACCCTAAATAATGATGTATATGTTGCGACAACACCCTGTCCCCTTGTAAATACGAGAAGTGAAAAGAATTTATAGCACAGTAAAATCAATTTGTGTTCAATATTAAAATTGATGATAATTTTAGTCTGAATTAGTTCACAATGTAGATTGCACCTAACAAATCTAATGATGTTTGAAGTTTTAGTACAAGACTCGCAGGAATTATTCAGCAGATGTTGAAAAATTTTTTTAAAAACATCACTGTTACTAACAAATACCTCTTTCCTCCTTTGTAATGCGGTAAGAGTGCTTTCTGCCCCACACCTTACGCCACCTTTTTAGTGTTATGGAAGACCACCCTTTTAGAGGAAGGAAACATGATTCCAACTTAGTGCTCAAAAAGATAGTATGTATCTGCTAAGTACTAATCTCCTTAGCTGTTATAATTAATGACAAATTCAAATTCTTACAAGAAACTTGAAATGAGTAGTTACATAGGTAAAAAAACTGATACAGTAACTGGAGATGCCACATACAGATATGTTTTAAACATAATGTTATTACCTGTATTTAAAGAATATAAATACTACTGAGTGAGCATGTGTGTGCATGCTCAAGTGTGAGTGTGCGTGCATACATTGGTGCTCTCAAAGATGAGGTGTAAAGAGTATGTGAATGTGACTTTCAGATTTTAGTTTATAAATTTGTTCTGAATTACAACCCAAATTTATTTGAATAAGCATAAACAAACTCTGCTCTCCTTCATACATTCTTGGTGTATTTCAAATAACAGCAATGACTGAAATAGTGATATTTTTCAATGGCACTTCCATTGTTTTCTAAACACAAGATGTGCATTGTTTCATCGGCTAACAAAACTTGTAAGATTGTTTATTAATAGTACCTGACAATTTTCTCTTGAAAGGTGTATTCTGGAATCCAATGAAGTTATGATTGGTGTATAACTTTTTCTGCTTCTTTGCAGGGCTATGCATGTCAAGTGTCGGTGTCTATGCCGACAAGCACAATGTCGGCTACAACCACATTGGTCCATACACCCACAGGGACAATAACACACCCAGCTGCCCCACCCACTGCTGTGCCCGCAGCAGTTAGTGGGCCTTCTGCAGCAGTACCACCTGTTCCTCAAGCTGCTGTTGTTCCAGCTCCAGGCAATGGACCAGCGAAACCAAATCTTGGAGGACTTCATGGGTGAGTGTAAATTGTATATTAGATTAATACATTCAATTTATTGAATTTTTTAGTTATTGTAACTGAATGGTATTAAAGTAGTATGAATAGGTGGTGAGAATTGAGGCTTATGGGTTAGGAATGCATCTTCTTATTAAATTTCCTCCTGTTAATCTTTTCTCATTTCTGAAAATCATCCTTTTCCTCTTTCTCTTCTTCTCATTTCTCTCCTCTCTTTCAGGTAAATTGGCTAGGCAATTGTGATTATTGCCAACGTTTTTTGTTTTTCGAGGAAGTGTTGGCTGACAATAGTTTCTAGAGACCTAAGAGAGGCGTTTCAAGAAAAAGAAATTGCGTTCTTGAAACGTCCCCGAAAAAGAAATTGCGTCTATTCTGATTGAAACCTTAACCAAAGAATCTTAGGGGGGAATTTTCAGTATCTCTTGTGATTATATTTGGACGAGGTGGAGTAGCGTGAGGTCTTACCTGTGTTTGACACATCTTTTGAAGGAGGTTTGGCTGGAAATATGCAACCATGAACTTTTAATTTTTCCTCAATTAGGAAGTTTGCTAGTAACAACGTTACCAATACCAAACTATTCTTTATCCAACAAGAAAACGAAGTAGATGTAAACATTGCCACGTGGGTTGGCAGTCGCTGATTGGCTACAATATATCCGCAATATTCATTCTTCCTCAGACTTACTTCTTTCTTTTTTACGTACACGCATAATAAAATGTTAAAGAAAAATACATGTAAGTGCTTGTAATACATAGTAGAAAATCACATGTAAGCGTCTTCAGTAAGTGTACATTTAAATTACATGATGTGTAACTTCGAACGAGAGGGGTAACAAATCGAAGATGATGCATAACAAGAGAAGTAGTTTCGATGTAATGACACTCCGCGTATCACGTGTGCTTAAAGCGCAGTGAAACTGAGTTGTGCAGGTGATGAGTGTAAAGGAAACTCGCATTACAGATCATAAACTCATTGCGATCGGTTGTTTAAAATTGTATGTGATAGTATACATGACGTCGATTGAGTGTATTTTGTGAAATGAATTTTTCACTTACGTGCCGTGACTGAATTATTTCCATCGCCGACAACGTCTGAAATTGTAAAATGCGAGAAAAGCCGACAGTGTCTGGTGTTATTTTAAACGTGTTAAAATTCAATACGCAAGAAGAATACGGAATTTGTTACTGACACTCAATACAGCCATTGTCAGATTCAGAATGAACGACTGTTTCCTTTTCACGTAAGTAACCAACAAATTTCATGTTAAATCAATGACACATTACTGCAGTGCTGTATCAGTTTTTGGCTTGCGCGTAATAAAGTTCATTGAGACTACGCGAAACAAGACCGGCTCGCATTTTTGTGGGGGCGCGAAAGCATGATCATATCGACAATCATTTTTATAATAACTGTTGGAAATAATTATGCCATGTGAGTGCGTTATTATCCTTACGAGCACTATGATACCTATCCCGAATTGGCAGTCTCTTGCGCACCCTGCCCATTGCAAGAGAAGGATATTGTGCAAAGTGTTGATGAATTCGAGATCGCCAACGGACAGCGGAGACAGCAGAACGTTGCCAGCTGTCTCCGCAGAAGATGACAGCTCAGTGGTCCCGGACCACGCGCTTCAGCGGAAGGATACATTCCGGTTTGTTCATTAAATTATACATCTATTTCATTATCTCGTTGGGCAATAATTGGATTTCATATGGAGTTTAAACAGAGGTGATGTAAAATACAATATTTAATGAATTCAACCATCCACAAATGCAAATATGTATTACGTACACGCATGTAAAAAGAAATAATTTAACAATTGTACTTACGATAGGTAATTGCTAAATGGCAGATGGGCGTAATTGCTAAATCAGGATGCCCTCTTTCTGAAAAATGTCTTAAGTATTTGTTGGTGTCCCTGGCCATGTAGGAAACGAAATAGCTGACCAGGCAGCAAAGTTCGCCACGAAGAAAAGTTATATATCCTTACAGTCCCCCACGGACACTAAGCTCTTTATCAAACGCTCTATTCTCAGTGAATAGCAGAGTGACAGAACACAGATTTTCACGCTCACGAGAATCAAGGATTCCATAAATCCTTGGTCCTCCTCATCTCGTGATGCTAGCTGAGAGATTATGCTAACACGTCTTCGGATCGGTCACTGGCATTTCTCCCACGGATATCCACCCATGCATGAAATTATTGCATTACAGATCTCACCGTAGAGCATGTTCTCTTGCACTGTGGGAGGATCAGAGAGAGCCGCCAAAGGAATTGCTAGCTCTCTAGCGGAGATGCTTAGAAATTACGAATCTTCTCTCGCTTTTCCGGGAGGCCTAACATCTACAGCCTTGTGAGAGAAGAGTATAATGCCAATTATTTGGCTTTTACTTGGAGATTTTAAAGGTTTGATCTGGCTCTATTCTGCCAAGATCTTTTTTTTTTAATTTATTTATTTAGTTTTTACTTTCCAGTTAAAATTTTTTAGCATCGCACTGCCACAATGCGTACTGATCTTGCAATAATTTGACACGGGCGCCAATGACCTTCGCTCTTGAAGCGCCCTTAAACTCACTTATCATTAATAGTGGCAGAAGGTTTACTTTTATGCATTTTTTTAAAATTAGAGTGTGAAATATCTTATTAAAAAATCAGAGGAAAATTAATAAATTTTCTGGAAAAATGAAAAAAGTCAGGGAAATTTGTTCCAGAAATAGTGGCCACCTATAAATGGGTGGATAATATACTTGTAAAAAAAATGTAATGGATACTTAACTCACAATAAACATGACTCACAAATGAATGCTTAGTTTGCAATAATCAGTAGTTGGATATATTATGAACATATTGTAACAATTCAAGATTTTAATTTTTGGCAATTTGAGATAAGAGTATTTTCAGGAGGGAAAAATATTAGTTTTCGCAATTAAACATTTTTTTCCCCAAAGTCAAAGAAGGCTGTGTTTATTATAGTGAGTCGAAGCGCTGAGGATTGTTCTGTGTTTAGCTGAAGAAAAAGTGAAGTTTTCGGAATGAAGAAAAAGGTATATTCGTGAATTGACGTATTTGAAGTGCAAATCCCAACACCCTGTATCGCGCTTGGCCCTGTCGCCACGCCCGTCTGGGGGTCGCGCTTTATTTTTAGTCAGAACCTCAATCCCCCAGCCGACCATCAGCATTGCGGTGCACTCGTTCCCAAGTAACGATTATGGCCTCCCGAGTCTATAAATGCGAATAATGTGATGTACAGACTGCAACGAAATCCAAAAATTACAAACGATTCTCAGTGTACTTAGCTTTTCACTAGAAGCGGACGCGCGTCGTGATATGCTTATTTGCCGATACGAGGTCCTGGACTCTGTCGACACGCTTACTGCGAAGTCGATTGGTCGTCCCTTCAAGAAAAGGGAGAAGGCGGGCGCCGGGTTGAGACGTTGACTATCAGATTATTTCATGCTCACGAAAGTTTTCGCTTGCGAACTGAAGTTAGCATATCTGGTAATTGTTAATGCGAGTTGAGGTTAAGGTAGTTTGAACTGCACACAAAGAGAATGTGTTCGCTATTTACAGTAATTTATGCGCCTGAAGTGGCAGTATTATTTGTTTCTGTACGGTGCCCAGGGAGGAAAGGTCGAAACTTCGCAGATAACCTCTTAGAAAAAAAATTTAGCATATTTTGTTTAATAAAGTACTGGGATATTCCGAATGGTTAAGCCGCAATAAGCACTCAAAATTGGGTTAGAAAAAAAATGCTTTTTGGACAAAAATTGCATTTCAGAAGCATAGAAACACTCCGGGAACAAGAATTTGTTTGTTCACAAAAGATATTAATATATTTGTTCAGAAAAATATTAACACAAAAGTCTCAATTTACACAATTCGGCTTTTTTACTTTCATTTCTGAGTTAATTTTTCTCTGTGAATAAATATATTATTTTTTGTTGTAAATAAACAATTTACGTGTTTTTGTAGTGTTTCAATACTTCTGCAGAATTTTTGCCTGGTAAGCATTTTTTCGAACCAAATTTGAATGCTTATAGCGGCTTAACCATTGGAAATATCCAAGTAGTTAATAGACAAAATGTTTAAAATAGTCTAAAGAGCTTATTTTCGATGTTCCGACGACACGTTCAGAAAACGTGTATAGGTGGGTCCATACATTTGGCATTCGTCGAGTAACCAGCTACTGCTAGCCCAATTCCGAGCCCAGGATGTGTTCGGCGAAGTTCGCTTCCTTTCATGTGTCCATAAGACCGACTCGGCGTTGGGTAGGGCTAGCACCGATTGTTCGTCGCGCGGCAAATAGCATGTAACTCATCCGCACAACTCGGGATTCGGCCAGCGGTCACTCGCTACTCCCTGAATGTGTGGCACCGCATTAAAATATCACTTGTAATTTGTTAATGAATACAAATGTTGAATCTTTGCCGTGTATATAGTCATAAGCACATCTGAAATATTTGTATCAATAGAGGTTTTCTGGTTCCCAAACAGCAGGTAACTGATGATGGTGGCTGAGCCATCTAAAGCTGCTTTTGCATTGAATAATGATGTTGGCCAACTCAATGTCTCTTGTAATTCTGTGAAAGTTAATTGACATTTGGGTTACTTTAATTTTAATAAAAATCGGTTTGCTTGTCATAACTTCTTATTGAATAAAGACTTTTTAATTTAATACAATGTTCTTTTCTGAAAAAATATAGGAACTTTGAAAGAATCTGAGTATCTGTGTTAGTCTTTTGGTTACAATTGTGATGACATGCTAGGGACATCGCAATGGGGTGCTTCAATACTGCTCTGGTTTTTCACTTTAAGTAGAAATGGCCACTGGCATTCTGCATTAATTTGTTAGTTAGCTATTCCAACCTAAATTATTGCTCTTAGAGAAAAAATGAGGATCATACAAGTACTCTGCCAGTACATGGTATGTTGTTTGTGTTTAACATCAATTAATTAAGCATGACAATTTAACTTTGATCTCGTCCTAAGATTGTACTGGAATTTTGATATGCAAGTCTTCTTACTCGCATAATTCATCTGGTTTTGATTCATGGATTTTGGTAGGTATAGTTTTGAGTAGTTGTGAGGAACATTTAATCTATTTTCTAAGGGTGAAGTATCTCTTTTTTAGTAAGTCATTGATCTGACTTATGAAATGATATCCTGATTGGAATTACTACCACACTAGATTCTTTTTGTAAAAAGAACCTATTTCTCTGTGCTTGTTTTCTGATTTTTGTGTCCAAGTTGTTGAGTACCTGCTGCGTGGCTTGAAAGGCTGTGAATGAGATATCATATTTAATGTGTAGTCTTGCATTGAAACTTAAGGATTGTGTTACAAAGTGTTTTTTAAAATATCATTTTCATCCAAGTACATAATACTTGCTACATACATGTAATACACCATATTCGAACATTGAGATACACGTTACATTGAGGCTGAAGATTTGGTTGAGAGAAATGCATGTACTAGTTTTGAGCGCCAGCATCAAATACCTGTAGCAGCTTTGTGGTCTAGGAATCCCGATGAATTATTGTGTGACATGGGTCTTGCAGCTTTGTAGGCTGGTGGTCTCAATGAAGGGGACACATCTAATTAAATGTATTTTTACATTAAATTTCACTCAACGTTAGAATTCTGTATCGCGTGACGATTTGAACTTTGTCAAAGTAGAAACGTGGGATATGTATTCTCAGAGTTATTCTATGCTTTGTTGGCACTGTTGGTGACACCTCTATCTTCAGGATTCCCAGTAGTGGGTTGTTAAAATTCTTCATAAAAGGAATTGTTTTTCCACGTAAAATTTTTGAGGGAGAGTATCTTTCTAAAGTTGCAAGAAATTTTCTAATTGTTGGTCGTGGTTTGAATGAGGTCCACTTATAGTCCATTCTGAGGCTCTATTTTATTAAATGCGGGGATTTTCATGAACTTTATTCATTCCTGGTGTGGTTGTTTGTTACTCTTGTTTCTAATGAAATATTAATTTGTTTCCGTCGACTATAACAGGGATTAGGTTTTCTGTTACCTGCCAAATTTTAATGTTGTGTACTTCAACAATCACCATAATATCTGGAATTACCACACAAGTTTCTTCAGATTTAAAGTTTGGAGTTGTAGATGCATGGCTTAAACCTCTTTCAAGATACAGATTTCTGGAAATATCTGATAATTCTGCATATTTTGCTTGAAAATCAGCATAGTTTCAATGGCATCATGTGTCGTTCAAATCCATATTGCAATTCCGTAACCAATTGAATTATGAATTAGTAACGGATACATCTTCGTATACTTAGAACTAGTTTGTTGTTTGTTTTTCACCAGCTGACAACTTCTGTTTTGATCATGATAATTTAGTTTTGTTTAATCCTGAGTGAATAAAGAAGAGATAATAGTTAGGAAATTAATCGTAGTAACATATCCCCAGGTTTACAACAAAATATGCAATACCCTGAACTCTGACAATGACTTCCAAGGAGTATCATGAATTGTGTGTGGACCAACATGTTCACATGTTCATTACGGAAATGTGAGACGTTGTTATGACGCACTTTCTTGCCTTCAGCAAACTTCTTTTCTCTCCATCCCCATCCTCCGAAAGAGAGGGAAAACAGAAGGGGGGAAGAAAACCTACGAAAAGGATGAAAATATTTTTTCATCCTGCAAAAGGGTAAAATAAAATTCTGACAATCGATAAATATTTAAATGCAAAAATATTAATTTAAATAAATATCTGGGTCCTAGTCACCACTCGGTCAAATGCTTCGACAGCAAAACTGTTGTGATAGTTGTATAGTTGGGTTGTTGTATAGTTGAAGATCAACTATAATAACAAATTTATTTTCTTAGATTTGATAGTTCAATGTTTTTTCTTTGAAACTACTTGAAAGATCCTTTAAGTATTATAATTTAATGTTGATAAATGTAAGGTGGTGAACTTTCATCGAAAGAGAGGCCCAATCACATTGATCTACACACTTTTTAATGTTGCTCTTCAACAAGTGCAAATTACTAAAGACCTTGGGGTATTTTTTGATGGAAGACCTATGTAGATCACATCCATTAAATTGTTAAGAAAGGTTTGTGTCTTCTTGGATATGTGAAGATGTATAGTAGAGACTTTTTGTAGTTGATATGTATTACTTTGTATAACACTTTTAAAAAATACTATTTTATAGTGTACGTCACCAGTATGGTCTCCTCATTATGCTACGCTCATTAAGTGAATCAAAAGACTTCAGCATCGTTTTTTTTTCGTACATTGCTTTTAAATTTCTTTTCCAAAATTACTCATATATGTATGATTACAGCAAGTTAGCTAAATTTACCAATTTGAGTACACTGCAATCCCATAGAATTTATAATGATACATATCTCTTATACTGAAGTATTGATTCCCCCGCCCCCCTTCACTCATTGGAACTTAACTTCATTACTCAAAGTTCTAATTATGATAGTAGATCAATACCCACTTATAAAATTACGCCACATTCACACATATGGCTTTTGTTCATCAGGTTATGAGTACTTGGCAGTGATTCCATGTTTCCCACATTAAGCTGTGCTGTTATCAATGAATTTAAGCAAATTTAACTGATTATATTTGCATTTGATAATCAAATGTTAGGATCTTATGCTGAAGCCTGTTTGAATAAATAGGTAGATAAACAAACTTTTCTCTCTTCTTTGTTTCCAGAAGGTCGTCGGCTCCAGCAGCAACAGCCACATACCATTTGACTGGGGTATCTACTGCTGCAGCAACTAACGCTGCTCCTGCAGCGTCGACCCCTGTGGCTGGGCCTGCCACTCATCACCATACGCCTCCAGGAGCAGCAGCTGCAGCAGCAGTCGCAGCAGCAGCAGCGGGTTATGCTCCCCCTCCTATCCCAGCTGCTGCCACTCCGGTGACTGCAGTGCAAACTGCGGCAGCTGTGCCTGGTGGCCTCCCTAATAATACATCTGCTGCTGCTCACCATAACAGTCATCATCACCACCACCACCATCATGGTGCTGGGGCTGGCCCACAAGCTGGCACTGGTGCGCTAGCAGAGAGTGCAGCTTCATCACTACATCCACCTCCTCCTCCATCACAAGGCCAGCCAGTAGAATTCAACCATGCAATCAACTATGTGAACAAAATTAAGGTAAAGGAATGTTATATTGGCATGTTAATATCCACTTGTGCCAGATACATGAGTGGTCAGTAATAAAATACATGAGAAAGTATAGTTATTTAGAGGCAGTATGTCAGTAATGACAGGGTGTGGTTTTAGGCCTGTCACATAAAATGCAAAAGAAAAGTTACTTAATTCATTATTGATTCTTTGCCAGTAAATTCACGTAGACTGCTGGGTTTTGATTGTATAAATACTTTGTACAGTGCTGTGACCCTTCTGCTTTCTACCACTTCATACACTGAGCCCACATCAAACATGTTCTTTCAAATAAGACTTCCATGTTGGAGCCTGTAGGCCTGTTGTTGCATTGTTTCTTATCCTTGTTAATTCAAGGAAGCATTCCCTGTAAAGTTTTTGTTCAGACTGGTATCATATTAATTGATTTGTATTCCAGCAAATTGTTTCGTGTTAAAGGTGCTATTCACTACTATTTGTTAGAGGTGAAAATCTGTATAAAAACTAAATCTAATAAAAACCTCTCCAAAACTATAAATTTACAGGGACAAAACAAATGAATTGGCTTAGTGGATTGTGTTCAAAGAACGTGAAAACACGTATTGATAAGAAGTTTGACCTTTAATTTGTTGCTTAACCAGTTTTTTTTTCTCTGCACGTGGTGTGTTTACAACAAATTGTAAAATTTATTCTTCTCTCATATTACATTTTGTCCCTTTTTCTGAAATGGTATTGCTAGTGGATCAAAGGCTTTCCATAATAATGATGGACATTTGGCAGCAGATGATTTTGACTGTTCGAACAAAACTTTCGAAGATGAGATCTTAAATTAAGGTGATAAAGAGTCGACAAATAACTTGATGAGATTGTGCAGTTAAACGCATTCACTTCCAGACAACTATAGAATGTTTGACCTATGAAGTTTGACTAACTGATATGAAAAATGAAACATGTAATGTATATACAAGATGTACAGGTTGGGAATTTAATAGCTATTAAAAGATTGTGTTGGTCATTATGAAGTTTCTTTTGATTGACAGAATCGTTTTCAAGGCCAACCAGATAAATACAAGCGCTTCTTGGAAATTCTTCACACTTACCAGAAGGAGCAGCGCAATCTAAAGGAAGGTGCACTTGCTCCAGGAAAACAGTTGACTGAAGCTGAAGTTTATGCTCAAGTTGCTAAATTGTTTGAAAATCAAGAAGATCTTCTTGCAGAATTTGGACAGTTCTTGCCTGATGCTACGTCACATCAAGCAGCTTTAGTAAGTTCTTGTAGAGATTTCATTATCCCATATATTTAACTATTTAAAGGCATATTGGAGTTCAGCAAAAGCCTTGTTAAGGTTTCTGAAATAGAAGTGATTAAGAAAAAATGCAAAAATTTTTCAATAAAACAAGACTTAAATTACGAATTGTGAGTTTGTGGTAAAACAGCACAAGGTAGGTGCACTAACTTGTCTAGGACTTATTTGAAGGTAGTTGGTCACTGTAATAGCTTCATTTACTTAGAGTTGGACTATATCTATGATTCTTTCAACAGTGATCATGTTTGTTTTTATCCTTGTTTATTTTAATCTTGTTAAGAACATGCAGTGGAGAAATGTTAAAATAAATGGTTGTCATGTGTAGAATCCCCAACATCATTTCTAGGCAAATTTCCCTAACTTTCTAATTGTTCAAGTAGATTCTGAACTATTCAAACTTAATAATGTCGTCAACTGCTGGTCATGAACCTCAGGATACCATCGGTATCTACTACATTTGTATGCTAATTCTGGAATGGAATTAGTTATATTAATGAAAGCAAATTCAATATGCTCTTTGCAGGGTAAAGGGCCTAATGATCATGTTGGTCTTGTGAAGAAAGCTGGGGTCAGTTCCAGTTTGAAACCAAACTACAACTCTTTGAGCAGCCCAGGAAGTCGTGAAATTCCTAGTCTTGGATCTAGTGATCACCATCGTTCCAGTACAAGTACTGCAGGAGGCGCGAGTACTGCTGATAGGCCTGGCATTGGAGGTGCTGGATCGAGTTCTTTAGGATCAAGCAGTGGAAGTGGAGGAGTGTCTGGCAGTGGGAAACCTGGACATGCAGGAGGCCAGTTGAAGAGATCTCCTTCTTATGCGTCAACTTCTCCGGGTGGCTCTGGAGCTCATCATGGTCCTCCAGCAAAGAAGCACAAAATGACTTCTCTGCGGGATGTGTCTTTGGCAGAAGCTGGAAAATATGGGAGTCTTTCAGATTACGCGTTTTTTGATAAGGTGAGCTGCTTCTATTTTATTAGTTCTGTAGATTCAGCCCATTTCATAATTACATTTTCTTCTTCTTAGTTGTAGAAGATCTACATGGAAAAGAAAGCATAGCTTTTTACAAAAGATTTTATTTTTAGTGGTTTTAGATGCCAATGAGATTTTTTTTATCTTGCAGACTAGAAAGGCTTTGAAGAATCAAGAGGTATATGAGAATTTTCTCCGTTGCTTGGTGCTATTTAATCATGAAATAGTAAGTCGAACTGAACTGGTGCAGCTTGTTACACCATTTCTGGGCAAATTTCCTGAACTTTTCCGATGGTTCAAAGACTTCCTGAACTATTCCGACTCAATAATGCCTTCAACTGCTGGCCATGGACCTGCAGGTACCAGTGGTTTGAGTGGACATCACCATGGTGGTGCTGAGCCTATACCTAATAATGTTGCACGCCAAGACCGGCCTACTGGGGATCTTGCCATGGAAATAGGTAATACTTGTGTTCTTGTTATCTATTACTGTGATAGAGGTCATTCATGAAAATCTTTATTCTGAATAAAATTAACTGATCAATTTTAATTCTTCTCTTATGCTGTCCTCAGATTACACTGCATGCAAACGACTTGGGGCCAGTTACTGTGCTCTGCCAAAGAGTTACGCACAGCCAAAGTGCTCCGGGCGCACACCTCTCTGTCGCGAAGTGCTCAATGACACATGGGTGTCTTTTCCGACATGGAGTGAGGATTCTACATTTGTTACATCTCGCAAAACTCAATATGAGGAATACATTTATCGATGTGAAGATGAGAGGTTTGAGGTTAGTGTAGATATGAAGAGTATAAATGTTATTTTTCTAGTTTTCATATTTGCTTTATTTGCCTTTTGTTTTTGTTCAGCTTGATGTTGTCATAGAAACAAATGCCGCTACAATAAGAGTACTTGAGGCAGTCAACAAAAAGTTGTCTCGCATGTCTCCAGAAGAAGTTGCTAGATTCAGACTGGATGACTGCCTAGGCGGTTCATCGCCCACAATTCATCAAAGGGCACTTCGAAGGATTTATGGTGATAAGGCAGCTGATATTGTGGAAGGCTTGAAAAAGAATCCTGTAGTTGCAGTTCCTGTGGTACTAAGAAGACTAAAAGCCAAGGAGGAGGAATGGCGAGAAGCACAAAAGGTTTGGCGCAAACTATGAAATATATAATTATCTAGTTTATAATTAAATGAAATGTGTTTTAGCTAATTTTGTAATTTTATTGCCCAGGGTTTCAATAAACTCTGGAGGGAACAGAACGAAAAATACTACTTAAAATCATTGGATCATCAAGGCATTAACTTTAAGCAAAATGATCTCAAAGCTCTCCGCTCTAAAAGCCTATTCAATGAGATTGAAACTTTGTATGATGAGGTAAGTTTTTTCTTTTTTTATTTCTTTTTTCAATAGTATTCATAAATTGCCCTTTAAAGGATTTTCTTTTAACATCACAATTAATTATTATTAATGGAATTAAAAGATTTATGATGGATTCACTTTTAAAAGAATGATTGTAGCTGACAACATGTTGACAACCCATCTTCAATAATCTCTACTATACATTCTACTTACAGATCAATGAGGGCTGTTAGAGAGGTCTATTTCTGTTGCTTGTAAACTTACAACTAACTAGTAGACATGTTTGAGATGGCAGAGTTATTTTCAGTCATCTCAGACTTGACAGTGAATTAAGGATGGTTTTGTCCATGCTGATTATGTAAAATGTTTTTTTTAATTTTTACTTTGCAGCGGCATGAGCAAGCAGAAGAGGGAGATGCTGACAGTGGAGGAGTGAATGCTGGTGGTCCCCATCTTGTGTTGCCTTACAAAGATCGCTCAGTGTTGGATGATGCAGCAAACCTGTTAATACATCATGTGAAAAGACAGACTGGAATTCATAAAGAAGATAAGCAACGAATCAAGCTATTGCTAAGGCAGTTTTTGCCTGATATGTTCTCTCACCCTCGGCAGCAACTTTCAGATGATGAAAGGGATGATGAAGGTAAGGAATGTCCTATTTTCCTAATTTCTAATTAGAATAATGCAACTTTCTGCATGTGTAATTGGGAACAGAGTATATTTAAGCCTTCTGGAGTGAAACTTGGCTAATCAGTCTCCTTGACCTTTGAGTTGTGCACATTTTGTAAATTCACCTGTATTCAACAGTTATATTGAATGGTTTGAACCATTTCTTCCTCTCTTGCTCCCCTTCTGTCTGTTTACTTATTATTAGTATTATTAAATCTATTATAGGAATAAGAAGGGAAGGAGTGGTAGAGGTTGTTATTCATTTTTATCTGCCCACATTGTGGCATCATGAAGATGCAGAATGTGAATAGATTTATCTACGTTTTATGAATTGATAGTAGTAGGTTAGTGAAGTTGATTCTGTAACGGTTATGATTCAGTAATGTAAAAAGTTTTTAGGAAAATCTTTTCTAATAACAATTAGCTGAATCTGAGATCTGATGCAAGCTTTCCATAATCTTATTACCTTGATCAAATGATTACTTCTACTAACAGCCAATTTTTAGTAGAACTATTACTGACACAACAACTTTTCTTGGTAGTCTTTTTAATTTCTATTTATGAATAATAATAACAATTTGTTTTGTTTGTAATCTAACATTATTTTGTAGACGAAAAGGAAGAAGTTGATCTGGAAACATGTACTCCACCTGGAAACAGTACAAACAGTGGGCCAAATACATCAACAGCATCACCTGCAAACCCAGCTGCTGGGCAGTCATCTACAAGTGGTACATCCAGTGGAAGTTCAAGAGGCAGGAAAGGTGATGCTCCTGTGAAAAAGGAACCCTTGGATGGGGATGTCAAGCTTGGAGTACGTAGTTAACTGCTTCTACATTAATTTGCTAATTTTTTTTTTTTGTTTGGTTTGTTTGTTTGTATTAAACCGTCAGGTAGTAAATATTAGTGGGTTTGTCTAAATTTAATCAAATGGGTACCTGCTTTGACTTTTAATTTTTTTATTAATTATTGCATTTATATTGCTTGAAATATTAATTGCATGTGGATAGTTTTTTAAAATTCTTATCTTGATTGTGATGTTTGTTTATACGGTTTACGTTTTACAGGCCCACTCGTCTGGATCAGGTGGAGACTCGGATCCTGCTCGACCAATGGGAATGGGTGGGATGGCTGGAGTTCATCCAGATGAAACTTATACTCTATTTTTTGGCAATAATAATTGGTACCTGTTCCTGAGGCTTCATCAAATACTTTGCGAACGACTCACTCGCATGTATGAGCGAGCAGTTCAGTTGGCAGCAGATGAAGCGAGATATCGTCGTGGACGAAAAGAGTCCACTGCCATTGCTCTTCGTTTAAAACCTAAAAGTGAGTCACTGTGTACGTATAATTTTTATACTTCTCTTATTGTGGGAATACTTTTTTTTCTGGATCTGGCATGTGCATTATAAATATTTGCTCAATTTGTGACTGATGGTAACTGAATTTTGATGTGCTGGTGTAATAATTTTAGACCTTTTGTAAATTGACCTTTGTTAAACAGTCATATTGATTGGGAAACAGAACGTTTTAGTTGTTGCTGAAGTCATGTTAAGAATATCTTGATATTTACGATTGTAATTTTCTTCCAGTTATTGTATTAAAGTATGTGTGTGTATGTTTCAATTATGTGCAATCATGTAGTCATTTCATCCCTATGGTTTTACTGTTAAAGCATTCTTCATAAAATGCATTTAATTGAATTGCTGTTCAAAGAGGAGTCTGGGACACTTTTTTTACTAAAAAAGAAGTTGAAAAATTTTGGCTTATGTTACTAGAGATGATTTAAATTAGGTTGCTAATTCTCCCCGACTTTTTGTTTTCAAAACGTTTGTTTTGTTAATAAAAAAGGTAAATCCTTCTCTGAAACATTAACAATTTAAAACATTTCATCCCTACAAAATCGTAGCATAGACAAGTATTTTAGTGCATGGTTTTTAGAAGGGTGTGTAGTGTGCTTTTTGTGTTTAAATGTATAAATTATAGTTTTCTTGACTTTTTAAAATGTTCTCAGTTCTGTTAACCATGTTTATAAATTCAGGTGAAATTGAAGTGGAAGATTATTATCCTGCATTTTTGGACATGGTCAAAAATGTCCTTGATGGCAATATGGATGCAAATGCATATGAAGATACCTTGCGAGAAATGTTTGGGATCCATGCATATATTGCCTTTACATTAGACAAGGTCGTCAGCTACGCTGTTAGACAGGTGAGTGATTAATTTTGAGAACTTAAAAAAACATTAAATGAACAAGAGGAAAGAGGTAAAATTTCAGCCATGTAAACACGATATCTTAATAATCATTTTCAGGATAAATAAGGTATCTTGTTTGATAATGAATTACAATATGGTTTATACTACCAATTTTAAACCTGTCTAGAGTATTGAGAAATATGAGTGTATTGTTCACAGTGTATTATGGTATTTTGGGACGGGCAACCATACAAAAAAGGAAAAAATTCATCAGGATTATTAAAAGAGACTGGATAAAAATATGTAGTATGAAACGTTAAGATATGTACATAAATACAGGGTGCGGCAGAACCGACTAAGCAGTTTCTATTGATTACCAAAGGAGCTGTGGTGGGGGTAGGCAGCTGCAAGTGGTCTGCCTTTGTTCAGTAGTTAACCCCATTTCAGTA